TTCATTCTGATTACATTTCCAAACCACTTCATTCTGATTACATTTCCAAACCACTTCATTCTGATTAACATTCTGATTACATTTCTAAACCACTTCATTCTGATTACATTTCCAAACCACTTCATTCTGATTACATTTCCAAACCACTTCATTCTTTGCTTACAATTTAAAAAAACAAAGCTTAAGAGCGAACAACGCGTGAACAAAACTAGAACTTCCAGGGCGGGTTGCAGGGCTCTATTTTGTAGAACAATTAACTCCCTTCCTCAACAAGCATGCCGTAGGAAGCGGATAATTAGGGCCGTTTCCTTTAAAGTCGGAGTGCATCTGCCTGAAAGGAAAGGAACCAACAGTCTGCATACAAATAAGCCATATTTGTGAAACGGATGTACACGCAAACGAGGGTCTCTGAGGCTCAGCTGGGAACGGAAAAGTAGAGGACCAAAAGAGTGAATAAGACAGACGTAGTTCTGACTTTCAATAGCGAATTTACCGGGATGAGAGAAAAAAAAAAAAAAAAATGAGCTGATGGCTCCACCCACATAAGGTGTTCCCCAATTGCCCCAAAAGCCATCGCCTGAACCACAACGACAGAGTCTGTTATAGGATTGTCTTTGACATATTTTTGTTTTCCGTTTAAATGTAAGAAAGAAAGAAAGAAAGAAAGACCATGGAACTCAACCGGAAGTATTATGTCATCCACTAAGAGAAATGTACAGTTATGCAGGTCTGGGTTGCCCGTGTGGGCGTGCGACCAGGTACCAGAAAGCAACTCATGCCACAGCAGATATATAAACTGTTGTCGTGTGTGGATCTGGTTACTTTGCTCAACGGCTACCAGCGTTTTGAGTTACAATTGTTGTGCCTTGTTGCTGCTGGAGAATTTAATAATAATTACACGCTTTGTTTCCTTTGAAAGGTTAGTAAGTTTTTGTTTGTCGTATATGTGAACTTGACATTATTTTATTTAGAACAAAAGCCTGTCCCCTCAGTGTATATTCTACCCAACAACAGTGCTCTTCCCTCTCTCTTCGATAATTTTGTTTCTTCTTCTTCTTCTTCTTATTTTTCTTCATCGAAAAGTTCTGGCTGTTCATCCAACTCTGGACTTACAGTCTTGTTCAAGAACCTGAGTGTTGCGTGTACATACGTTTTACAGAAAGGACTTATTTGTTTGCAGACTGTTAGTTTCTTGCCACTCAGGCAGATGCACTCCAAGTTTGATGTCAACTACGGACGATTTGGCAGCAGACTGCTTTGTTGCAATTTCGACAATGGTATCGGCCACCGTTTAGAGAACAATGGCAAACCACTCAACGTAACATTGCCTAGTGAAAGCAAACCACTCAACGTAACATTGCCTAGTGAAAGCAAACCACTCAACGTAACATTGCCTAGTGAAAGCAAACCACTCAACGTAACATTGCCTAGTGAAAGCAAACAAGTAAGAAGGTAGAGATTGGGTCTACAATTTCCTGTAAGAATCATGCAACCATCTTCATAATTTCTGCATTTGTAATTGCCATATAATTTTAATTTTTCTTTGTACAAGCACCAGTTAACGAATGTTTGTTGTTTCCTGTTTCAATGGCTTGTTCTATATATGTTCAATAAAATCAGTCATGAAATTATTGGACAAGTGGAACAATTGGGATGAAGGAGGGTGTGAAGGGGTAGGGAAAAAGAGAGGAAAAGGACGGGGTGTCTCGAAGTAAAGAAGGTTTCATATATAATTTCATTTTTGTAAGGAAACTTGAGTACATAGCTATCAGTATTCTATTTTAAGATAAGAATAAATGTAAAAACCAGTTATGCAATCAGTTCTACCCTCCATTCGAGGTTATCCTGTGCAAAGGTTATAAATGACTCCTTGAGAGTGAAAGTACATGCGGCGGGAGAGCTGGCGAGAGACCGAGTTTCTTTCAGGCAGACCACGATGAGAGCGACGTTATGCGAAGGACCTGCTACATGCTGATGAGATAAAATTGAAACTCATATTCTAGTATTCGACTGTGACAATTAGTCTTCTACTCTGACACATAGCATTAAAAGGTCAAAAATGAAACTCATATTCTAGTATTCGACAGTGACAATTAGTCTTCTACTCTGACACATAGCATTAAAAGGTCAAAAATGAAACTCATATTCTAGTATTCGACAGTGACAATTAGTCTTCTACTCTGACATATAGAATTAAAAGGTCAAAAATGAAACTCATATTCTAGTATTCGACAGTGACGGTTAGTCTTCTACTCTGACATATAGAGTTAAAAGGTCAAAATAAAACTCATATTCTAGTTTTTAACCATGGCGATTACTCTTCTATACTGAGGCATAGAAGTAAAGAAATCAAACTGGAAATCATATTCTAGTATTCGATCATGATGATTACTCTTCCATTTGGAAACAGAAGTAAGGAAGCGAAAATGGAACTCCCTGCCAGTCTTGAGTCACATTCAACCCTACTAGGGCCGCACAGCGAGACATAAACACCTGGTGACCCAAAATGTCAGCACTGACGAGAATACTCAGGGCACAAGTCCCAGAAACCCCGTTCAACATTTAGGTTATATTAGGACCCTCGACGACAGCCGGGGTGAATTTTAAAATAATAATAAAAAAGAAAATGTATCCCATGCTGGGGCTGAAAATAGTATTTTAGTCTTCAGCCATGTCGATTAATCAGTCTACTATTCTGGGATGCAGCGGAGCTGAGTGGTCTCGGGGTATGGTGTCCGCCTCGAGTGTTGGAGGTCCCGGGTTCAAGCTCCGCAAAGGCTGGGACTTTTTCACCTGGACTTCTAGTGATTTTCCTTGGTCTCTGGGTAGTCAGATCGGACATCCGTCTTGCGCACGTTAAAAATCTTCCCAAAGTATTTCATGATCCTCGCCGGTGCAATGGAGTTCGTGCACTGAGCTAAGAATCTTCAGACTCAGGCTTGGGTTAGAAGTAGAAGGGAGTACTTATGGTTTACACCCGTGTGCCATGATGTTGATCCGTCGAATGAACATAAACAAACAGATGTAAGGAGGCCAGAATAAAGCCAGTTTTGTTGCTTCCGCAATGGCCACCACTCCTCCGCTCTTAGATATAAAAGTAAGGCGACCGATATAACACTGATATCATTGTGTCAAACCACGGCAATTACTTTTCCGTTTGAGAGAGGAACAAATAACAGAAAGAAACTTAACAACTCATCTTTACCATCTGTTGTGAGAGTTCCGGGTCCCCGATGTGGTGAAAACAAGAATAGACCAACTGCCACTCCAATAAGCATGTCGTAACAGCCGACTAATTGGGAGCTTCATGCTTTGTTCGAAATCGGAGTGCATCTGCCCGAGCGGCAAGCAACAATTAGGCGGACACAAATAATCCATTAAAAAGCATTTACACGCACAACTCAGACGCTGACACAAAGCCAGAATCCAAACTGACGAACAACCAGGGCTTTCCACAGGACTTTACAGATGGTGAGCAAAGAAGAAGAAAGTATTCTGGTCTCAAAATCATACGGATTATTCTTCCACTTTGAGATAAAGAAGTAATACGATCAAAATAAAACCACATTTCAGTCTACAATCACGACGATTAATCTTCTGTCCTGAGATGCATAAGCAAAGAGACCAAAATTAAACTACTATTATATTCTGATGACATAATAATTCCCCACGAACTTTCTTGACTCATTATTCCTTATTTCACAAAGAAAAATACCCTGGGCAGAAAGAGTTCAAGATAATAGGCTGAAAAAAAAAAAAAAAAAATCCCGTACAGAATGTTCCATTTTAAAGCGTACTTGAAATTCCCGTCAAACAGATTACAAAAATACACAAGTTTCCCCCCTCACTCAGGGGTCTGCTAATTTATTTTCCCCATGCTCCGACTGTAGAATTCTAGCCTGACATGTACGAACAGTGACATTAGAGATGTTGCAGGTAAAAGCGTCACTGGCTACCTCAGTCCAGATGAGTTAAACTGATGAGCTGGTGCGCTCGTAAATGTCGAAGTTGGGATATCTGCCACGTTGCTCGGTATCACGTAAAAATGCAACAAGTAGTAGGGAGCCGCCTTTGTGTAGCGACTAGACGCCCGGATGCGGATCCCAAGTTCGTGGGTTCAAATCCGACACAAAGAGAGACTTTTCCCCCTTAAAAAATGAGCTTGGCTTCCTGGTTGACCTAGCCTTAAATAGGTACGAGGTAAAGTCCTGGAAAGTAAAAGCGGGCGGCGTGATGTTGATAACATCACCTGCCAAGTGCCTATTGGTCTGTAAAATATAGATCTAGAATAGTTCGCCCGATACGCCTGAAAGCGTTGAAAAGGAACCTTTACTTTTACATAATAAAAAAATGGGCGTTGGAGATTATTCAGTGCGAAACCTTTCTAAACTCTTTGCAACGCAAAGTATGTTTCGGCCCATGCATATGTTCTTATATCTACAAGCATGTCGTAAGAGTTGACTAATTAGTGGCTTTATTCGAAGTCGGAATGTATCCGCCTGAGAGTTAAGGAACCAACAGTCTGCATACCAAAACCTAGATATGCAGAACGGATTGGTACGCAACACTGAGTTCTAGAACAAAACTAAACTTCAGACGTGGACGAACAACCAGAACTTTTAGCTAGAGTTTACAGGCGATGAATGCAAAGAAGAAAAGATACTATGAACTGTAGTTTTTTTTGTTTTCATTTGTAAAACTTGAAAATTGTATTACCTGCACATGCATTCACTCTTATAATAATGTTTTTCTGTTTTTTTTTTTTAAGGATAATAGAGCAATCAAGAAGAAAAACAGCCTGAACAGCAATATACAGTGGAATGCTCTTTTGTTTTGAAACCATTTGAACGGAAAATCTTTGAAATCAAATACTCAACGAAACCACATCCTGTTGCTAGTCAAAGTGCTTTAAAAAATTATCAATCCTGAAACGAGATACATCTGCTAAAGATTAGCTTCTCTTATTATATTTAATTCCGCCTGTCTACCATTGAAAAACCATGAGCAGTATTCCTTTAGACGAACGGACACAAAAATTAGTGAGCGCCTTACAGTTGCAATGCCTGCACCCAGGGATTGGTGCCCTCAGGCAGCTCTCTTGCATGTTCCGGCGGATGGACCTCGACTACTCCAAGAAAATCTGCTTCGAGGAATTCGTTTTGGGGCTGAGAAGCTACAACTTGAAGTTTTCAGATGAAGACATCGAACTTCTATTCTCGGCTCTAGATATTAATGATGACGGGCAGATTGATTTTAGAGAGTTTTTAGAACTGTTGATTCCTCCGATGAATGAGGTGAGAACGAATGTGATCAATGAAGCTTTTGACAAGCTGGATATCAATGGGGATGGTACGATACAGATGGATGAGCTTAAAAGTGAGTAGCAGAAGTTGTATTAAATGTTTAGGCATTTTTTAAGTAATGATCGTCTTCTTCTTCTGCATTGCCCCCCCCCCCCTTTTTTTCACCCCCTTCCCAGCTTCCCTTTCGGAAATGTTCACTTTTTTTCATACAGGCGTGTGACGAGCAAATTTTAAAAATTCGTTAAATTTGCCTTGAAAAATCGCAACAGCCAATAAATGCTGGAGTTGGTCCTGTAACATCATGTAAAAGATACACAACTAACTATACATACAAAGTGCAATGCGTGTCTTTTCTTATCTGTTTTTCGCAAGTATTGCCGTTTGTTATTATTTTATCACATATACAGAAATGTATTAAAAAAAAAAAGTAACAACAATATAATCACAAAAAATTAGTAGTGACGGTGACAATAGCTGGTTTTCTTTACCCACTGAAACGTTACTAACACAATATTTATATTAAGATAAAAAAAAAAAAAAAAGAGTAACTACACAGATGATGATTGATTAGGATGATTATAGAAAATACATTTCAACAGTATATTTCTCATTAACTCTTTCGAATTACGGGTCATAATGGCCATAAAGGTTGGCTGTAATGAGTCTCTAGCATCTGTACGTATGTATGTATGTTGTACCCCACCAGGACATAACACAAGCGATAAAGGTTGGCTGTAATGAGTCTCTAGCATCTGTACGTATGTATGTATGTTGTACCCCACCAGGACATAACACAAGCGATAAAGGTTGGCTGTAATGAGTCTCTAGCATCTGTACGTATGTATGTATGTTGTACCCCACCAGGACATAACACAAGCGATAAAGGTTGGCTGTAATGAGTCTCTAGCATCCGTACGTATGTATGTATGTTGTACCCCACCAGGACATAACACAAGCGATAAAGTTTGGCTGTAATGAGTCTCTAGCATCTGTACGTATGTATGTATGTTGTACCCCACCAGGACATAACACAAGCGATAAAGTTTGGCTGTAATGAGTCTCTAGTATCCGTATGTATGTATGTATGTATGTATGTATGTATGTATGTATGTATGTATGTATGTATGTTGTACCTCACCAGGACATAACACAAGCGATAAAGGTTGGCTGTAATGAGTCTCTAGTTTGGCTCTGTAGCATCCGTACGTACGTATGTATGTATGTTGTACCCCGTACGTATGTATGTATGTTGTACCCCACCAGGACATAACACAAGCGATAAAGTTTGGCTGTAATGTGTCTCAAGCATCCGTACGTATGTATGTATGTTGTACCTCACCAGGACATAACACAAGCGTTAAACACCGGTAACTTAAAGTGCCACCATGCAGATGAGGATCACCGGTGGAGAGGTCCCAGAAACCCCGTTTAGCCGTTAGGCCATATCTGAGGCCCGGCTACATTTAGGGTCTCCAGCAAAAGCCAGGGTGGAGCTTCAAAATAACCAAACATTGAATCCCACATGGAGACGAAATCTGGTTAATCTCTAGCATCCCCACTAGGACATCACACAAGCGATAAACATTCGATGACACAAAGTGCCACCATGCGGATGATGATCACGGCCCCGGAAACCGCGTTCTGCCAGTTTGCCATATTTATAGCCAGGTTATATTGCGGCCCCTGGCAAGAGCCAGGGTGGAACTTCTAAATAAAAAAAAATTGCACCCCACAAGAGGATGACGAACAACGTTCATGTGGTTTTCTCTAGCATCCATCTTAAGAACGCACTAAGACGGTCATCGCGCTGGCATACTTTAATTGACAATGTTGGTTAACCGACTGCGTCAACATTCTTTTTGTTTTTGGTAACAAAGCTGCGCTTCTCAGTTTTGTAGTTCTCGCGGCCAAGCTCCAGAACTAATACCAGGTGTGTGCCGTTATTTACTTCATGGAAACTGAATTTTTCCGACATGTTTACATGAGCTGTTTTAAAAATAGTCCGGGGTTGTCTCTCGCGTCTCCGTCTGTCTCGAGTTTGCTCCCTCTACATCTTTCTACATATTCTGTGTGAATATTTCGTCAAGTCCTTTCTATGAGGTTCTGGAAAGGCTACAAATGAAGAGAGAAATGATAAAATAAATAAAAAAGAAACAATTGAAATACTTTAGCCACCTTAAAAGACAAAACACACATTTATTTTGGAAACCATACTTAGGGAAAGGCCAAAGGCAAGAGAGCAAGAGGTAGGCAAACGACACAAGTGGGATGACAACATCAAGAGATGGACGGGCAGCAGTCTGAGAGAGTGTACAGCAGGGTCAAGAGACAGGGTGTGTTGGAAATCTATTGCTGCCAACGATCACTGTGGAGACGGCACCTGATTGATGGAATGATTGACTGACTGATCGATTAAAAAAAAAGCAAACAAGATTGCAGTAAAATAAAAGTTACATAGGAAAATAGGAGACCCCTTTCACGCCAGTCACGCATCAGGAACATCGTACTAGTCCGTATGCCTGCGTGTCGTTTATTCGCTCCGGGCTGCCACCTGAGAGGTTTGACACTCTTAGATCTGAAGATCTCAGTGTGGATGGCAGACCAAGAGCACTTGAAAGTTTGACACTCTTAGATCTGAAGATCTCATTGTGGATGGCAGACCAAGAGCACTTGGAGGTGTGACACTCTTGGATCTGAAGATCTAACTCTGGATGGCAGACCAAGAGCACTTGAAAGTTTGACACTCTTAGATCTAAAGATCTCAGTCTGGATGGCAGACCAAGAGCACTTGAAAGTTTGACACTCTTAGATCTGAAGATCTCATTGTGGATGGCAGACAAAGAGCACTTGAAAGTGTGACACTCTTGGATCTGAAGATCTAACTCTGGATGGCAGACCAAGAGCACTTGAAAGTTTGACACTCTTAGATCTAAAGATCTCAGTCTGGATGGCAGACCAAGAGCACTTGAAAGTTTGACACTCTTAGATCTAAAGATCTCAGTCTGGATGGCAGACCAAGAGCACTTGAAAGTTTGACACTCTTAGATCTAAAGATCTCAGTCTGGATGGCAGACCAAGAGCACTTGAAAGTTTGACACTCTTAGATTTAAAGATCTCAGTCTGGATGGCAGACCTAGAGCACTTGAAAGTTTGACACTCTTAGATCTGAAGATCTCATTGTGGATGGCAGACAAAGAGCTGACACTCTTGGATCTGACTAACTCTGGATGGCAGACCAAAGAGCACTGAAAGTGTGACACTCTTGGATCTGAAGATCTAACTCTGGATGGCAGACCAAGAGCACTTGAAAGTTTGACACTCTTAGATCTGAAGATCTCACTCTGGATGGCAGACCAAGAGCACTTGAAAGTTTGACACTCTTAGATCTGAAGATCTCACTCTGGATGGCAGACCAAGAGCACTTGAAAGTTTGACACTCTTAGATCTGAAGATCTCACTCTGGATGGCAGACCAACAGGACTTGAAAGTTTGACACCATGCGACAAAAAATAAATTGTCACAGAGCTTGTGGCAAGCTATATTTAGCAAGCCCCAAAACCCCGTTCAACCTTCAAGGAAGTTGTAATTAGGGCACATGTAGCAACCAGACCGAGGTAAGCAACAGCTCTATCAGTGTTTTTTTGTGTCACTGTTTCATATGTTAGCTTCCGTGCCTTAGGCGTTGCAAGTCTGACTCGTAATTCCAACGTACCGCGATCGAAACCCACTGCTGGCTGCGTGGATTTGTATCATCGTATGGGGCGTTGCAGGTCAACTCTGCTTGAAATGGGTACCAGGATGGGCTGTCCTCGGAAAGTAAAGACAGCCGGCGTAATGCTGACCACATTACCCACCTAGTGCCGATGATCTGTAAAATATACCCGATACGCCTAAAGGCGTGAAAAGGGATTTGAACTGTTTAAAAAATATTTCTTCATATGTGAAGCAGTGGCCAGGCGTGCATGTAACAGCAGGATTCGCCGCAGACTCTGACCATTGCCAAAGCAACATTATCCCGCTATCTATTATTATTGTTTACTATTTTTGATGAGCGGTTGGCCGAACTGTTAGAACGTTGGGCTGTCAAGCGGGAGACCCGGGTTCAAATCCTCGGTAAGGCTGGGGATTTGTTTCTGTCGGGGGCGAAATAAAAACCTGACGTTCACAGTCGTGGCGACAGCACTAGCCGTGCAACCGTAAATCCGGTCTCAAACACCTCCTGCCTACACGGCAACAGTGGTACAATAGAGGCAGTAACTGACAGTTTACTATTTATTACAAAGGGGGGAGGGGGGCTGAGTAATCTCTAGGCATGGTGTTCACCTTGAGTGCTAAAGGTTCCGGGTTTAATCGCCTGTAATGGCTAATTCTTTTTTTTACGTGGACTTGAATTTCTGGTAATTTCCCATGGTCTCTGGGTAGTGAGATCAGACGCTCGTGTGCATTGTTGCGCACTTAAAAAATCCCTTGGCAGTTGGAAATGGAAAAGAGTAGCCTAATGGCGCTGCCCGGGCAAACATTTGGAGTTACAAGTCTACCCAACGTATTTCATGATCCTAGCTGGTGCCAGAGCCTGTGCACTGTGCTGAGCTTCTTCGGACTCAGACTTGAGTTAGAACAGAGCACTTATTGGTTATTACTCGTGTGCCATGATGTTGATCCGTTGTTCAAACTTCAAACTATTTATTACAAACACGTCATTTACGCTTGGAACATCACCAAAAGAACGTTTGCTACACGCTCACACCTCTCATTCAGAAATTGTAACGCGTGAAAGCTTACAGTTACTAATTACCGAAACACTTCTACAATGTTAGCTGCGCACACATTACTATTCTCCTGTAACCCATACGTCCTTTTTAGGATGAAATTTGTTGTTATTTAAAGCCCCACCCTGGCTTTTGCCAGGGGCCGCAATATAGGCAGGCCACAGATATGGCCAATTGTCTGAACGCGGTTTCTGGGACCTCTCCACGGTGATCCTCATCCACATGGTGGCACTATGTGTCATCGGGTGTTTATTGCTTGTGTGATGTCCTAGTGGGGTAGAAAGTCAGTCAGTCAGTCAGCTGC